CACTGCAAATCTCCATCTTTAAAGATTCATTCTAGAATTTGGTGGAGAATTAAAAATTTCCTGACTATCCTGCCATCAATAAATTCCCTTGTACCCCTATTGAAGACTGGCAAAACTTTTGATTCCCTCCAAACTCTTGGAAACTTTCCTAATTGCTACAATTTCCTAAATAATGTAATTGTTTAGCTGTGATATGTGAAGTTTCTTTTCAGTGTCATAAAATTCATGCAGTGAGCTTCATTTTCCAGCACTGGAATTGCTCTTCCATCCCTTATACTGTATTGTGGAGATTTTGTCCTCTCCCGATTCCTATTTCTCCCTCAGTGTTTCCAATCAACAAGCTGTAGGCTGTCACACCATGTCACAAGACACAGCTGCGATAGCCTTCTGTCCAAGCTGTGTCTATATTTTTGAGCAAAGGAAATTGGAGAAGAGGTCAGGTGCTGGCCAGGAACATCAGGAAGCAGGACCAGAAGGAGAGAAAAGGCAGGCAGAGTCCCATCCTGAGGTCAAGGGCACCTGCTTGTGTAGTGCACTGCCGTCACAGGCAAGCCCTGGTGCAGCGCGGGCTGTTCCCAGACCCAAGGCTGTGTACAGCAGGAAGGATGCTGCGTGCAGCCAGTTGAGCCCGCACTGGGCCCAGGCGTCGCCTTCAGACCCCGGTCTCCTGCCAGGCTCCATTGGCTTCTCACAGAGCGGTCACACAGCTCTGGCTGGAGCACCACAGAGCCGGGACCTTTCTTGCAGGAAGAGACATGAGCAGGATTTACGGTGGAGAGAAAAGAACGCCCAGAATGCACAGCCAGGCCTGGGCGAGTCTACACAATGAAGAACACCCTGACAAGCCAGACCCACTTTCCTCTTCACCCACTACGAGAAGGGCTCATCTTTCCGCCTCTTCCAATGGGATGCACTGTGCCCCACTCTGAGGAATGACCCTGCCATGCTGAGAGAAGCAGTCGCAGCTTTCTTACCTGCAAGAAAACCTTTGCAAAGCAAAAAGGTACAGGAATAAAGGTCCGTAGCTCCATGTTATAGTAGCACCTCGGTTCATGAATTCTTTCTACGATTCTGGTCACAAACTGAATAGGATGAATGTAGCCAGGGTAGCATCTGAGCTGTTTTTCTTAAGCTTCTCCTCAACCCTCTGTGCCCAGGCCACTCCCTAAATCTTTTCTCCCAGCTCCTTGGGGTTCTGCCCTCATCTCTGCTTTGTCACAGCTGCGCTTAGGCTTGCTCAGGTCTTCAAAGCCATCTAAGGCCACCACAGTGAGTTCTTCTAGGGTCTGCCTCTGGGTCCTGCTGTTAGCGGAACACAGTGACAAAGCTGCTGAGCTGCTGTCGAACAGCTCTGCACCTCAGAAGGTGATGTTTTCTTAGCTTGTTTTCCTTCCTTGATTTGGTTAAAAGCCTTCCAAGCTCTCTGAATGACACACATAGTATTCTTCCAGTCCTCTTCACCTAATAAACAATATGGTATCTAAAGCCCCCTGGTATATTTCACAGGAAGGTAAGATCCTACAGTAAGATACCATACTTGGAGTAAGAGCACACATGACATTGCAGAAATGAAGTGACTGTCTTCAGTTTCCATCTGGACCAAAGAAAAGAGTGGGAGGTGGAGTCACTGCAGACCCCTGTGTGGCATCTGCAGCTGAGGTGGGTATCAGACTAGCTAAGCCACAGCTTTGGCTTCTGTTCTTCCCTGTCTCAGAATCTCTCTCTCTCTCTCTCTCTCTCTCTCTCTCTCTCTCTCTCTCTCTCTCTCTCTCACAAGAGGAATGTGGCCCTGGGACTTCATTTAAGTTGATATACAGGGAGCTTCAGCAGTTCTCTCAGCCATATTCCCAAAACGAATCCTACAGGGCTAAGACACAGATCCCTTCTGCTGAGCAGCTGTGTTTGCTGCCAGAGGGGATAATAAAGGGAGATAAGATGATAATTCAAGAAAAAAGAACCCCATTGGGGTGACAGTATAGACAAAATAGCCCTGGGAAAGTGGAGAGGCAGGAGCTCTGGACAAGTGCCTGGACCCAGCTTTGTCTCTCCAGCCAGCCCATCTGCAATAGAGGAACTGTGTGGATGACACTGGGCTCTTCATCCAACCACGCTGGCAGCCTTGGATGCTACGGAGGCCTCGGGCCCCGGCGTCCAATGTGCCATATGGAAGAGCGGCCCTGAGCCCACATCACTGTACCCTCTCCACCTGGCTCACCCTGCCCAGCTTTGTGGGGCACAGGATGGGAGTCAGGAAAGTCAGGGAGAGGCCACTTGAGGAGAATCCTGGGCCTTGTTC